CTAACTTTAGCTTTTTTTACCTGCGTTTTTTGACCTTTCTTTTTTTTTCTGTTTTTCTCTCTTTCTTGCTTCTCATATCAACATAATTCCATAGAGCTGTTCGAGTGGATCCTTCCACCACAGTGGTAGCTCCTTCTGCGCGTAAATTGACTTTTTTTCCTACTTTTTAATTTTTGCCCTTTTTACCCGCGTTTTTTTTCTTTTTGAGTTTTTGGTAATTTTCCCCAAACATTGTTTTTTTTAGCACTGCATGAAGAGCATTATTCAATAATTCGTTTTGTTCGTTTACTGGTGGAGTAAAAAAAAAATAACTACTCGTAAACTGCAGGACGGAGTACGATAAAAAGGTTCAGGCGCAAGTTCGACTGGATAGCTGGGAAGATGCATATATTGAACCAACGAAGCATCGCTGTATGTGAAATCAATTATTCTTGCCCGGAACTAATCTACAGGGATGTGATTTCATGAACTGAATTTGTACCGAAACCCAAAATAATAGGAATACTAAATTTGATATTATTCTTTGTATTTTACTGTGCAATTCCAGCTTTTTTTCTTGTCGGCATTTCTTTAAGCCTTTCTGCGTTTTTCACCGAATTGATGAGGGGTGCGTTATTGTGGATTTTAATTTTTCCACTGGGACTATTCGAGAATTTTCGCGCTGCTTTTAAGCCGAATTCCGTCTAGAAGCATGGGAATAACGTTAAAGTACACTGTACTGCGGCGCGATTACTGTATTTTCGAATGGGAATAACGCTACTGTAAGCGTTACTGTATCCCTGTTACATTAGTGTATTTCCTGATGGGAATAGCTTTACTGCGTTCACATAATGACGACATGCCAAATAATGATTATCAAAACCTTATAAAACGGACTATGCGTGAGCTTTCTTATTTTTTTCTTATTTTTTAATTCCAACTTTTTTACCTATGTACTTCGATTTTTTGACAAATTTTCCCCGAGCACTTCTATGTGCCAATTTTTCCTTGATTTTTGTAAGGCTTCAACAAAAGCACAAAAAGCATTTCCGATTGTGCTTGCAAGTATACGAAAATATTACACCAAGAATAATTAATAAAAAAGATTACTTGAAAATAAACCGTAATCAATGAATTTTGCCCTCTTGCTAGTCCTGTTTAGCAATGAATGATTATAAAAATAAAAAAACAAAAGAAAAAAATAAAAATAAAAAAGCAAAAATAAAAATGATTATTTTTTATTTATGCTTTTCAATACCTGTGCTTATTACCTGTGCTCATCAAAATTAAATAATTACTGTTTTTTAGCAAGAGTACTTTACCATTAGGTCGAGTACTCACTTCCATTCCCTACAAGCATGTTTTACCTGAAAAAAGACTCTATTTTTTGTAAAAAAATCTGAATTTTGCGAGTTTTTGCTGGTGTCTTATTAATGTGGCCTTCGAATTCTGTGTATTGAATTTTTCTGTATATTTCTCTATTTTTCGTTTGAAAATAAAA